GGAAATGGAAATGACCCATCTGTATCCTTAGGAGCAGTGGATGGATTGGAAACATGCGCCTTTGGGTTGGCAGTACAACTCCTTACCCAGGAGGCCACCAGAGCTCCTTTTACATAAGAACCGCAAGACACGGATCTGTATGTGTGACGCCTGAGAAGTGCGTGGTGACTGTTTACCCCAGCACTTGTTAATACTGTTTCTTTGGCTTCCTTCTCCAAGATCTCTGCAACATGTTACAGTCATAATAATGTGAGTATGTGCTTGTTTGCTCCTAAACTGTGTGTGTTGTGCTGGTTTGGGGTTTGAAACCAAAACCTACCAACCAGTTGCGTCCTTGGGAGTGCAAGGATGAATTCTATGTTTTAACCATTTGCAGCTATTTCCACTTAGCCTCGGGAAAGACCAGTAAGGACACAGAGCCCTCTGAGTTAGACAGCACCCAGTCCCCCACTCACCTGGGCAGCATCCATTCCACAGCCCTTCAAGGGGCCCAGGTGAAACCACCTGTGCAGACAACTCCTCCCACTTCCTGGCCACGGAGAAGCAAAAGGACACAGCACACCAAGTGAGAGGTACCTTTTCAGACTAAGCTTTTATTTTTTTGATATTACAAACCAGTTTTCTTTATTCACAAACCACTGTAAGTGATATAAACACTAATTTCTAAAGACAGATATACACATTTTCTGGGTTTGCAGATTGCGTGGTGTGTGTGTGTGTGTATGTGTGTGTGTGTGTGTGTTAAGTCACTATATGCCACACATGATATTAGTCTTTTTTTCCCATAATTCATAATAGCAATAGTTATTTAGATAAATGAAAACATTCCAAATAAATACTGTTTGTTAAAAAAAAATTCCAAAATGTTCGTTTACATCCAAAATGACGTTATTGGCATCTTGGAGGAGTGTTTAAACAAAAAAAGAGTCTGTTATCATCAGTTGGCACGCACTTGCTCTAAATGATTTTATTAAAACTACATACAGTCATGGGGGAAAAAGTACAGCTCATTGATGGAAATCAAAACAGCAAATGAATTTTACTTGAACCAACACGGTTAAGAATTCTATGTTTGTGATTCCAAACACAATGCAAATTTTGAACTTTGAAAGCTGAGGCCAGAGGAAAGCATTTTTCTCTCCCTAGCCTTCTACGGTATGCCTACTTACTCTCCTCGTCCCCTCTCTGGGATAGGATGCCACAGTGTTCTAATCAACTCAGTCCCTTTAAAAGCATTGACCAGGCACCCAGTTATAGACACTGTATCTTCCGGGTGGAGAAATAAGATTGTCTTTAGTGACACCCTAAAATATCCCTTTCCCCTTCCCTACTCTGTCTCCACTTCTCTCCACTTTTAGCTGCTACGCAGTTTCTCCCCCCACCCCCCACTTTCTCTCTCAGATAGCTGGCTCTGTCTATCAAAGCTACAGAAATTGTGTGTTCGAATCTTGTGAAACTTTATCGATGGTTTAATATCCAACGGATCTTAATTGCATGCACATAAGATGACAAGAGAAAGCTGGATCACAAACACTTTTTTTTGTATTTTTTTTTAAAAGTTTTGTTTGGTTTTGTTTGAAAGCAGAATTGTTTACAGCAGATTGGCAGCTTAACAGCGGTGAGTCGAGAGATTTACTAAGGTGCACGCCTGACCGCTGGGCCTGCACCGTTACACATGACAATTCCACTATGGCAGCGAAACTATTCAGGGAAAAGCTTGCCGCTGCTGTTGTGTGTTTCTGTTTGTTTTGTTTTATTTAAATACAAAAACAGGAAGACCCGTGACAGATACCCCAACTTAGGTGAACTTGTAAACAGGACGACATAAGATTTCAAACAGAAGTACAGTACAAACTGCAATTTTTCAGCGGTGGCCCCCTGGCCCCGAGTGGGACAGGTGCATGGGGTGGGGTGGGGGGAACTTTGCTCTTCAAGGATGAAGAGATTGTACCTACTTTTTTTTTTTTTTGCTTCCTTCTGACAAGTGTCCTGGGCCTCGGAGATGGGACTACAGATACTCAGCTGGAGCTAAACCTTGGGGTATGAGGGGAGAGATCAGAGGGCAAGTGGGCATGGACTGAAAAATTGCAGATTGTTTACACAATACACTCATGTTTCAAAAAGTACCAAGCGGATGAAAATACCATGATTATCTCTACTTGATGGACTGCGATACTTGTAAAATGCGTCTATAAATCCGAATATGATCATCATGTGATTCCATAAAAATTATACGTCTGTCTCTAACAGTTGTTCTACTAGGCTAAAACTAAAGCTTATATAGACTGTTTCTAGAACTCAACGCCACTGCACAGATGTAAATTTTATACATTTTTTTTAACTGGTACAAAGAATTTAAGTTTTTATTACTTTCTTTTTTTTTGGAAAAAAAGAAAAAAATAGAAACAGTACTTTTTATCACCTTTTATTAATGTTATTTTTTTCCCTCCCATAATATAAAAGTCAGCAATGATATCAATAATTTATTATACTGGAAGAAATATAAAAAGAATGCTTGTTGATGGCCTAACTAGTAGTTTTGTTTTTTTTTTGCCTAAATAACTAGTGTGGTTGGTTAAGAAGCTGAATACTGCCGGGTGGGATGGTTCAAAGGGTGGATATCTCTTCACTCAACTTCAGTACACAAATGGAGCTATGAGGAACCCTCTTCACAGGTAGCCTTTGGCTTGAACCAACAGTGAATAACTTAGGACCATTATTATTATTATGGTAGTTG